ATCATAAACAGTTGCTAAAAATCTGCCAAAACAATGTAGCGTTGCACAGCTAGTCGTTAGGGCAACAATGTAATTTATAGATTTCGTAAAGTAATACAGCGGTTTTGTACCTGCTAAAAAGCAAAAAAATTAATAACTAATTTTAGATGAATAAGTAAATAAAGTATAGCTTTTTTCGGATCGTGGTCGGTGTACTGTGGATTGACAGTTGGCAAAGGTGGGTCACTTGTTACTTTACCAGTTGCAGGAAGAGTAGTGTAATATTCAGGTAGACCATTGAGAATTTGTTTGTTCCACTATTGGATATGAATGCTGTCATCGTCAATCTATATAGTTGCTTCACTGTGAGGATGCTGAATAATAGTAACACTTGAACCATGGAAAGAAGTAACGGCAGTAGAAGAAGACTGGTTGTGATCAATGTTATCTATTGATGATGTTACAAACACAGTGGGACACGACTTAGGAGGGTAAACACCATATTCCGTATATTTTTACAAATACATTAAAAATTTCAGCAATTATATTTGATAGTTAAATAGTCATTAGGTCGTTGTATTACGGTTCAGGATCTATATAATTGTGTTTTTACCATAACGACTAGATGTGTAACGCTACAATATTTTGGCAAATTCTCAAAAACCGTTTGTGACAAAATAGAAGTCATATATACCGCTAGAAAGATAATTCTCTGACGAACAAAAAAGCTTATGACACGTTTTTAGCTAAATGTAACTGATTTCAAGTTATTTAGCAAAATGCGATGAAAAAAATTATAATTAAAAAAAAGTAAAAAAAAAATTCAAATATTTTTGGTTTTGTGAACCTAAACTATAAAACGAAATACACCGTTGGGAAGCATGTTTTCTCCTAATTCATAATCACTAAAAACATATGTTAATATCGGAAAGGAAAATTGAGTTATAACGGGAAATCTAGAAGCGTGTCTCAAAATTTTGGCGGACATTTTGATTACGTCAGCAAGACCGCTAGAGGGCCAGAAAAATTTGTGTCCCGAGCTTTTTAGACTCGTCTACCTATGTGCTTTCTGAATCCAAAAGGGCGCATTGGTTGCCAGATGTGAAACTTTTTTCAGCGATCTCACCCCACTATTTTCTATGTTACAGAATTCGGGCCCTGTGTAATTAACTTATTTTTGATATACAGGGTGTCCCAAAAATAAGTGCAAATATTTTAACTGGTAGTATATTTCGACCTTAGAAACACGCCCATGAGGTATTTCTTGCAAAAAAAAAAATTTTTAATTTGGAATTTTTTTTAATTTTAAATTAAAAAACATAATTTCTTGATAATATGGCAACATAGGTAGTAGCTTAAATTTACATAAAAGAAAATCCAGAAAAGATCCAGTGGTTCTCAAAATTTTAGCAAAAAATTATTTTTTTTGGAAATTTTTAAAGTAAAATAACTCGGTTATTTTGAACTTATTTGAAAAACGGTAAAGAGAAAAAATGTTTCTTTTGACCAGATCTACCACCTCTTGAAATGTTTGCACTTATTTCTAGGACATCCTGTATAGAAAAAAACGCGTAGTTGTTCTTTGTCCACGGAATATAGGAATTCCCTGTATATTTTGTAGGTTTGCTATGGACAAAAAACCTCCATTTTTTCCCCAAAGACTATGCGATATGGTGTTTTTTACTAGAGACAAAAAGTTTATATACCGCGTGCGTCTCAAAAGTGGCTCACCCCTATAACTTTTATATTTTTTCAGATAAAACAACGATATTTGGTATGTTAGTATATGACATAAATTAGGATTGATTGACATATTCAATTGTTTTCGGTCACTTCCGGTTTCACCGGAAATGACTACAACTTTTAATTTATAAATGACACCCTCAGTATTTTTTTACTTTATGCGATAGAAAATTACACTCTGAATAGAATGACATATCATATGTCAATAAACTAAAAAATAATTAATAGTTAATTATTTTTTTTTATATTGACATATTTGCATATGGTTTATTTGAAATTATAACATGCGGTTCATAAAGACAATTTGACTCGAAATACCAAGTGTGTGGTATCAAATTATTCGTAAAAATGTGTTAATATATGTCCAAATATGCTAATGAGCCACCCTTGTTCGATTTGAAAAAATTGAGATATAATTAAAAATACGATTTGGGCATCTTTTAACCGGCCAGGACAAGACAGTAAAAACATTAGACGATCAAATCTATTTTTCCAAGATTCCTTAATTAAAATTTAGTGTTTTTAACACAGCCATGGCACTCCATATTGAAGTTTAAAATACAATTTGTTTTTGAGCGAATATGTTGTGACATATGATATGTCATTAGATTCAGAGTGTTATTTTCTATCGAATAAAGTAGAAATATACCGAGGGTGCCATTTAAAAATCAAAAGTTCTAGTGATTTCCGGTGAAACAGGAAGTGACCGAAAACAATTGAATACGTCAATCAATCCTATTTTATGTCATATACTAACGTACAACGTAACGTACAATATATATATAGGGGTGAGCCACTTTTGAGACGCACCCGGTATAAGTTTAATTAGTTATATACTTTTTCTATTTTATTCTAGTGTATTTAGTGTGTATTTATTCATTTCAATCGCTTGCTCTAAACAAGTTTCCCTACTGAAAAGTTTATAATTAAGTAACAGTTAAGCAAAAATGCCTTTTTGCCTGACCTTTTTTGTCCCGAATATCTTGATTTTCCAGAAGATAATCACTCTATTAAGCATAATAAGGGCCCCCGGGGTCGATTTAATCGGCCGAATTAGTTTTTATATCCACGCAGGTTGTTCCCCACACAAAAAGCCGAAAAGCCTCCAATTATTCTAACGACGTGCTTAATGCCTTTTCTTCGCTTAATCTGTCCCCAAACTTCCCCATTTTAAGATACAAGCGCAATAAAAAAACGCTATAAAATAAAAATAAAATACGATACGCATCTGTTTACCAGAAGATAAAATGGTTGATGAGTTATAATTTTTATTTATCTATTTATTAGAATTTTTACAGCATAATTTTTAAAAATTTTATTTTTAAATGCCATACGATCGAAAAAAACGGCGTCAAAGAAAGCTTGGGAATGATAATCGATGATAATTTTGGCGAGGTTAAGCCCTAGAAGTCATTACTTGGCCCGTAGTCTTCTTTATTTTTTAATGGAGCTTACTACCCGGTTGGCTTTAAAAAGTGGTATATAATTTATTTTTATATTGTGTAAAAATGACTTTTTTCCATAACAACTCTGTTAAAATTGCCTTATATCTATCAAAAATAGTAGATAAAATAGTACTTTAACCGCAAGAATAGATTAAATGATACTTTAACAGCGAGGATAGGTTAAAAATTTTGTTTCTTCTCGAGGTTTTTTAATTGTTTCATTTTTGAAAATTTTTGTATTCCTTTTCATAAGTTATTCGGGATTTAAATGGAAGTAGTTTGGATATGGCGTTTGTCGCCTCAGCCTGAATATCTGTTGGTAATTTATTTATTTCGTTTTGAGCCATTTCCGGCTCTTCTATACCAATCGACACGACAGAGAATTAAAAAATATTGACTCAAAACTGACAACTAAAGAGACAGTTTTATTCGTAAATCGACCAAGAGAAATCGCTGGAAATTATTTTCAAGTTCGAGAAATGCTCGCTAGGGGGCGTTTCTCTAATAGCCAATCAGAAAACAGAGGTTTTTTCAAAAATATGCAGGTAAACAGGTATTTTAAATATTACTATTGTAATCATCGATAAATTTGTAATTTTTTTGATATAGAATATTTTGCTCTATCTCATAAAATAAAGTGGTGGGGGAAGGTTAAACTTGCTTTCATTAAAATAAGGATAACTCTGGTTTAGGTTAGCCGATTTAAACAAGCTAGGGCTCGTTTGAAAGAGCTTTTCTTGCTTAATGATCCTCAGTATGAATTTTATTTCCATAATTTTTTTCGTGATAGCTAGAGGGCGCTGTTTGACATCATAACAGATATTGCGCTTTTGCGTAAAAAAATTAAATAGGCACCCTAACATGATTTGTTCTCTTAATATCTCCGGTTAGAGAGCAGATAGAAAGTTGCGGTTTGCGCTGTTATTTTGGAAATTTTGTGCTCTATTTAACTGTGCATAGAGAAATATTTCTCTATGCACAGTTAAATAGAGCACAAAATTTCCAAAATAACAGCGCAAACCGCAACTTTCTATCTGCTCTCTAACCGGAGATATTAAGAGAACAAATCATGTTAGGCTGCCGCTTAGGATTATATGGTCTAAAAGTTATAGTAGTAGGCTAGGAAACAAAAAGAGGTAAATTGGTTACGTCAAAATATCAAAACGTTTAAGTTCAGTTTTCATGCATCCGAATTTCGGGCGTTTTCTTAAAAAAATGACGTCATAATTATTTAAACGTGTTTATGTAACATTATCATCCATCCATATAATTTTTACGAATTTCTTGGTTAATTATACGTAATTAGTTCTCAGATTAAAATGTCCGAAAGTTGGAGAATCAATAATTTTATTAAAATTTCTAGGAATTTTGTGCCGCCATATTGTTTTTAACAGAAAACGACCGACGTCCGTTCGAAAAATCCCTTCTTATCGAACCTCTACACCCTAGAATCAACCTGTATGCCAAAATTGAGCTTCTTACCTGGAGTGGTTTGAGCAGGATCGTGATTAATCAGTATGTCAGTCACTTAAGGATTTTATATATTAGTATAGATTATATCTACAGTAATTTATTTTGTAAAAATAATAAATGTATTTAGCATAAGATCTACTCTCAAAATATAATGTAACTAATTAATCCTTGTTCTTATTATCCCTCTCCGCAACTTATTATATCAACCTACTCTATAATATTATATTGTAGACGGAGATTTACCTATGACTGAATAACCTTCCTCTTGTATAAACAAGTCATATTGTTACATAACTAATTAACCCCCACACAAACAAAAGCACACAAAACCACCCAATCTCGTCCCATGTCGACCCTTACCTTTGGCCACCGGCGACACGGCGATAAAATTGACCAGCGCCGCCCCTGTGCCGTGCCCCATCAGCGTCACCCTCTCGGGGTCGCCCCCGAAGGCGGGCAAGTTCTCCCTGAGCCAGTGCAGCCCCGCCACCAGGTCCATGAGGCCAAAGTTGCCCTGGGCGCTGCCCTTGGTGCCCGTTTTGAGGAAACCTGCAACATAAAATAAGGGATATATGAGAAAAAAGTAATGTAATACATTGTTTTTATCATAAGGCAGTCGTATCTGCATATAGTGGATTTATTTTATTCACTCTAGAATTAGGTACGGTTTAACGTTAACAGAACATTTATGTCACAAAAATGTGTAGATGCATATTTAAGATGAATAGTATGTATACAGGGGGGTCCGAATTTTATTCGGGAGACGGCAGTATATTCTGCAGATAAAAATAAGTAAAAAAGTTCGTATAAATGCATGTCCTTAAATGATTAGTTTCAAAGATACAGGGTATAGAAGTTTCGTTTTTATTTCGATTTTTTCCGAATAGTCTTTAGTCAATTATGACATGTATTGACTATTTTCATTCCGAATATCTTGAAAACGGTTGCTCGTAGCGATTTTTACCATGACATCTTTTACGTAAAAAATTGTGGAAATATATATTTTTTCACTCAGTAGTTTAATATACAGGGTGACAATTTGACACCGATGATAGTATGAAAATTTGGGGCAAGAAATACGTGAATTTACATATTAAGGGAGACAATTTTTGAGGCATTTGTTGTCGTGTTACTTTTAACCCTTTGACCCCCAGGGCACCTACACCTAAAATTTTAAATGGCATCCCATATTTCTTTTACCATTTTTGTGTTCCTTATAAAATTCTCAAAAAAATAATGCAGTTTATGTAGAATTTTATAAGAAACACAAAAATGGTAAAAGAAATAGGGGTTGCTATTTAAAATTTTAGGGGAAGGTGCCCTGGGGGTCAAGGAGTTGAAAGTAACACGACAACAAATGCCTCAAAATTGTCCCTCTTAATATGTAAATTGACATGTTTCGCCAAATTTTCATACTATCATCGGTAGAGGCAATATTAAATACTGTTCGTTTTCACCAATGTTGTCACCACAAATTGTCACCCTGTAGGTACGGACGAAAAAATTATTACTATTCAAAACAGTTAAAAATCATGTAGGTGGCGCCCTCTACAAGTAGGAATCATATTGATATCGAAATCCCCCCCCCCAAATTTCTTATTTCAAAAAACACCCAGACACCAATTTTCATCAAAATATCGACTACAGTTCAGAAATTATTTGGAAAAAAACAAAGTAAAAACAAAATTTCTACACCCTGTAGAATGTAGAATGTTTAGGAGGGTAGTTAATCACCGCGACCTTATAGATCTATTGTGTGTTCCCCTGAGTTTCTTGAGTTATAACGAGTTATAACTCATGATACAGTCTCAGGGCTTTAACAAAAGCCAGTATCTGAGACGGCTCCACAGAGGCCAGCTCTCCATCCTCGACATCAGACGTACCAAAGTTCATGGCACGAATGGTCGTCGTCTCGGCGCACTCAGTGATAAGGTGTTCTGGTGTTTCCCCATTTTCCCCACAAAATCGGCATTCGTCGTTGTTTCTCAGTTTCAGCCTACTGAGGTGTTCGTTGAGGAGACAGTGTCCTGTTAGAAACCCCGTGACAATCCGAAGATTGTTTTTACTTAAATCAAGGAAAACCTTTGATTTTTCTCGGTCATAAGTTCTGAGGAACTTTTTCGAGTGTCTTAGACCGTTGGTGGACACCCATTCCAAGTTATGGATGGAGTCTTCCAGATTCTTCAGTTCCACTTTCAGTTGGTTTCCGTTTGGAAAACAGAACGGTTCTGGTCCAGTTAGTGGAGTGTTCGCTCCTTTTCTAGCTAGATCATTTGCTTTTTCATTGCCTTCTATCCCTTGCTGAGCAGGCACCCAGAGTAGGAGGACTTTATTTTCTTTGCCTAATTTATTAAGCTTCTCTAGACATTCTTTGACCAACTTCGAATTGATGGTTACTGAGTTGATCGCGTTAAGTGCTGCTTGATCGGATAGGATGGCAATTGCCTGTTTTCGATAGTTCCTATCTAAGATAAATTGTACGCATCTTTCGATAGCGCAAATTTCTGCCTGAAGGATACTGGGGTAGGTGCCTATTGGTTCGGAGTATTTAGTTTTCGGTCCAAATACTTCCACTGGGAGTTGGAGAAGTGGAATTTTCTTTTTGAGGGTGTTCCAAGCCTCTGACCTGAAAATTCTCCCAGTACTGTTTCCGTCAATGACCATTCTAATCATTGTCGCATTGGCATAACTACCGACGACAATATGCAGTGGTGTTAGGTCCAGAATGACCTCCATTGCTGCTGTTGGACATGTTCTCATGGCACCTGTGATCTGTGATGCAGATACATGCCAGTCTCTGTACTTTGCACAGGTTTTGCCTTGCTGTACGTTGCTCTAGTTTTGTATACCAAGCAACTGCTCCATAAGTAAGCATGGGTCTTACTATCATGGTATACATCCAGTAAAATCATTACAGGAAAGGTGAAAACTAACCCCACCCCTACATAAATTTTAATATAAAACGCACATTCATACCCAAACAACAATTTTGACGTTACGAAAAAAACATTCAAATATTGACGTTACGAAAAATTCGAAATAAAAATGAAACTTCTACACCCTGTAATTCTGAAAGGAAGCATTTTAGGACTTAAGTTTATACGAACTTTTTTATTTATTTTTATCTGCAGAATATGCTGTCGCAGTTTTCCAAATACATTTCGGATCACCACGTATACAGGGTGGAATACGATTTTTCTTAAATTACTTAAAATGGAGTTCAAGAATGGTTAAGAATTGTTCAATTCTACCATATGCATTCAGCATACGCAGACCTGTTAAAAATCTATTTGGAACTGTAAAATTAGCAGGGGAGACAATATCTGGACAGTTTTAAATGTGTTTGATGCACCACCCTGTATAAAACCATCTATAAAACACTGTTATAATTGTGAACATCAGAAAAGATTCTCTTTCAACTTTATCACCATTTCCTCTAAACATAACCTACGATATCGTAGATAATGCCCTTCCCCAGACAAGAATGGCTAGGCGCATATTTATTGTGGCTCTAACTGCGGCCTTATTTTACAGTATTTCCCCGTTTCGGCTGTTAAACGTGCCGCAGCTCGAATAAAGATAGCGACGGCGCTACGTGATATTTAAGCACCACCAATTATTTTTATGACGTCTGGTGGCGGCTCTGGCGGAAGGGAATAGAGTTATGGTGACGGGGTAACGTCGTAGCTCTAGGCTAGACAGTTTAGTCTAGAATAAGTTAGAATAATTATCTTTTTCTTCAAACGTCACGAAAGTATTAATTTTTGCGACGTGAATGGTAATATAAAAAAGTAATTTTAACGTCTAGGCATAAAACTAAAACACTTTTATACCTAAGCATGAAAGTACAAAATTATATTTATTATTAAACTGACGTAAAGTGTCAAATTCAACGAGTGTAACTACAAGCGATGGCGACAGCGCTGCCAGATTCTGATGGATTTATGAGATGAATCTTAATTTAGGAGTGACAAACAATATATTTATTATATCATTTTTTACGTTTTATTTTTAATTTAATAACTAATATTTTAGTAATTAATTGATATTTGTTTTATAGCTTATTTTACTTATTACATATTGGCAAAAACTAATCCATTATGAAGATTATTCTAATCGTTATTATGGGTTATTTATTTATTTATTGATGTACATCTTACAATGCCATAAGTAGTAATAACAAGTAAGAGGGTGCTATTAATACACAAATTAATAATCACAGAATTTTATAAAAACTAATGCAGAAATAACTTTGAAGCTATTATTAGTGAAAATATGAATAAGTTTGTAAAAATCTGAAAATTTTTGGGTCAAGGAATATTTGCCCGGTTTTTTTATTGTCATAAAATATGACAAAATTCAAACAAGCTCCAAAATTTGATAGCTGTTGATTCTACCTTTTAAAGAAACTTTGAATCATCAGAAAATATTAAATTTTAGCCAAGCTGTTAAACATGTCCCATCAATCAATTTTAGGCTTATCAAATATATCTTCGGAGCGTTAAGACTTTTTATTTCTATGTGAAAAATAATAAGGACCATTTTTATAGGTAATTGCTTCAAAAAAAGTTCAATAAATTTTTTCTAAATTGCACATTTTGGCAGGTTATTTGCGAAATACTAATTTTGGGCCATTTGGGGCCATTTTTTCGGCTAAAGCTGGCTGACCGCGGTGTTGCAATTTTTTCCCATAAAATTATTTCCCAAAAGGTAGGTACACAATCCGCCTGAAAAGTTCCGGTCGACAAATTAGGTCGTGGTTTCAACCTTTATTTACTGTACTTATTTGGGGCAACGGCCCAGCTACTTCGAAACACCGGTTCCCATTAGAACACCGACGTTAAGCGACGTAAGGCGATACTAGTGGATAGACGGGTGACCGGTTCGAAACTCTGTATCGTGCTGTTGTCCAAAAACAGGCAAGTGTAAAATCTATTGACACACACTGCTCATTCACGCCGGTTCGAGTTCGGATGAGTTCGGATATCTCGTGAGTAAGAGTTTATTTAGACACTTGCCAAGTGAGTAGGCCATTGACCATGATATGCGGTTCGGATTCCGCGTAAACAAAGTAGGCCCCGTCCAGATTAGCCCTGGCAGCAAAAAGGAGACGTTAACTGAAATCTTTACTTTACTTTTTTGTACTTACTTAACATTTTAAAACTGCAAAAAATATGACGTTAATCAAAATTAATAATAATCATCTATCAAAGAATAAAATTTAAATTATATTACCATAGAAAAAAACATAAATAAAAATACATAAAATCTTGGTTGAAAAATTCAACCACATTTTCATGTTTTTTTTTTAATTTTCTCTAAAACGGTATGAAAATTATAAACGGGATTAAACATTTTAAAACCGTCAATAATAAAAAAGTTTTTCTTCTTGTAAAAACAATCGGGTGACTGTATACTATATATGTAATACTGTATATCCAGAGTATTCTTCACAATCTTACCTTTTCAAACCTTATCATCGTTATCACTAAACAAAAAACCCATCCCAACCGCCACAAACGTCAACCCCTACAACATAATTTCTCACA